ACCAATGCTCGAGGAATGACCAGAAGAGGATTGTACGCAACCTCCATTGCTCGATTTCGCAGCATTTCGACACATTGCTCATGATGTGAACTTTCGGTTAAGCACTCGCGACTCCATAATAAGACTTGTTTCATTGATCTATTTCCTATTTAAGGCACCTAGATTTAAGAATTTTCTTTCCTACTCATGGCACGCAGCAGGGTACCTTGAGACACACCCGGGCGAATTTGAGACACCTGTACAGTACTGTTTTTCATCTCAAATGGAAGAAGCTTGTGAAAGTGATGACTGCAGTGACCCTCTCTTCATTCGCTGCTCACACTGAAAAGTTTTTGCTTCAACCATTTTGTAATAGGATATCACATGTGTTCTTTAAACGTTTCTAAATGATTTTAGTAATACTCGCCTTGAATAAAGTCTTCGGGTCCTTCAACATAAACGGAAGATGCTTGCGGTTCTCATTGAAACGGAATTTCCGTAGAGACCCTGTTTTCAGCACGTGTTCGCGGTTGAAAAAGCGTGCTACTAGTCAAAAGAGGTCTAGAACCGTTTTGCAAAAGTTTAGGAGCCGAAAGGATAAAAGGCAAAACTTCGTACGCATCAAGGATCCGAACCCCCATCTCGTGTCCCCGAGCCCATCCGCTTACCAGCTGCGCCACCGAAGCACATTCCCAATAGCGGCTCCAGTGGCTCAAGAACGCTCCCCCGCCGATAATCGATTTCGCAACTTTCGTTCAGAGAATCGTTTAGCAGATTTGGAGGGCAGATTCGAATTCAGCGTCCCAAGATTGGTACAGAAATATGCATCCCATCCTGAAAGGCCATGTCGAGGTGGGATCCTTTCCTTGTTAAGTAACAGCTTACTGTCTCAGCAACTCACAGCTGGCCTTTCCCGCATAGTGTCGCCTCAATGTCGAGTGATTAGAATTCGAGTCACAAGTGTTCCATTACTCTCTGCGTCCAGCAATGAACGTACGTGACATGAGCGCTGAGATCTACTTTACGCATATGGAATTCAAAGGGCAGGGCGCGTAGGAATGCGGCGATAAAGGAACCATATGATATAAAAACCAAATGAGAATATGTATACGATGAACTGATTCAAAGTTGGCCTTTGAGCAGTGATTGAGCGATGGTGGAAGACCCATATGCACAATTTATAGAACGCGCTAGCATAATGACACATTCGACAGCGCGGCCACTAGGCGCGCGTAGACGCTTATCGCTCCGAACCACGGCAGCATCGCACTCGGAAATGTCGCTGAAAAAGGACAGACAGAAAAAAATCGAATTGTAAGAGTTCCAACGAAAACAGTGATCGACATGGAAATGGCAAGGAAATGCTAGTTGTGAGTAATGCATCCGCAGCAAAGAATAAGTGGAACTCTTGGGAAACAAAGGCAGAACGCGCAGCAAAGAGTTAGAGGAACTCTTAAAAGAAACAAAACAGAGCGCTGGAGGAAATTCGAAGCGACCAGTGAAGACTACTCGTGGCTACAAGCCAACGAATTGAGCCGACGCATAGCGTTTCAAATGTTGCCGCGCATTATCGATCGATCGACGAGGGACTACACGTTGAGTAGAAACAAGAGCGCGCGTAAACATGCGAGAGCGCTAAAAGCGTTGAGACCGTGCATTGCGTGCATCGACGTAGCAAGCGCATGCAATGTTATCGTATTGATCGACGCGCCGCGGTCCTATCGCGATTAATGAGCGCGAGCCAAACCCGCGAAAGGACGACGCACGCACCAAGAACGTCATAAGAGAAAGGACTGTCGCAAATTTAGTGAGCGTAATGCAACAAGTAAGAGAAGGAGTGAGTTTAAAGTATTTTTAAAGTATTTTTTATGTATTCTGAGCAGTGAAACTGAACGGAACAAGGTATGATTTGCTGGAAATAAGATTGCTTGCGGCTTTAACTTAAGAATGAAGTGAACAGATTGTATTAGATGAATGAAATGAAAATGATTATTAGACTAACAGAGATCATACGGTGTATATGTAAGGTATGATATACAGTGCATATGTGAATATAAACAATATAAATGTGAATATAAATGATATATTAATTGATGAAATGAGCGAATGCATGAATGACTACACTATTTTTTAAAGATGCGACTACCTTTTACAGTTCTGAATGGTTGAACGCGCGCTGGAATTTTAGAAGCAACCTCGTGCTCAGATTTTTGTAAGGTAATCTCTAAGGGATAGAGCTGATTTATCTTTGAAACCATTCTGTGAGGCATTAATGCGCCAAGTCGTAAGTATGCTCGTTAGTAGCAGGTGGTGTCTGAAGTTGCACTTGAGGCGAAATAAAATCTATAGGACGTAATATAGTCGGCGAACTAGTAGTGTCCGTAAGTGAAGTAAGAGGACGACTATTCAAAGTTGCTTCTATTTCGAACGTGACTGTCTGAAACTGCTGCAATGAAATAAGGGAACGACCAATGGATTTACGTATGGCGGTTTTGACGAGACCCACTAGTGCTCGTAAAACCCACTTAAATAGAAGGAATAAAATAAGACCTTCGAAGTGTTGCAATTGTGGCGTGTACGCCTGAGTGAAACTGCTTAAAGTGAATATGGGTGACAACAAGCTGCACCAATTTATGAGAAGGAACTAGAAGTATAGGCGCAGGATTAGTATTACCAGCCTGCTGTACACGATGCGGACAATGTATGAGACCGTTTTCTGAGCGCTGAGCATTGAAGCGATAAAGCGGTAAACGGCTGAGGATCATCGAACCTTCGCGATAATGCTCCTTAATGAGAAGGACTTCCGCTTCCTCGTATTCCGAAGTGGAAATGAGCTCAGAAACGCTTAGCTTCTGCGAGTCGAAGACGGTGCTATGGCGTCCCACTTTGGTGAAAAGGGCGTGAATAAATTTCAGAGCGTAAACGGTCGAGCGAACGAGTATAGAGTACGAACTAATAGTATGGAACCGTAATGGCGACACATATTCAACAGGCTGCGAAACAACAAGTGACTGATATTCACTTTGCACCTCTCCGTCATTGACGGGGGGTTTTGAAAAGCCTTCATTTTTAGGCCAAGACGAAAGCGGCAAACGTAGAAATGATGGACCGGACCACCAAATGTGGTGTTGCGCTTGAGATGTGGAAATGCCTCGTGAGGCACAGTCCGCCGGATTAACTTCGGATTCGACATAATAGAACCGAGTAGGAATGTTCAAAGAACGGAAGTGATCACAGATGGTCTGTATTTCGTTGATCCTGTTATGGACGAATATGCGCAGAGGGCGTGTTGAATGAATCCAATGAAGAACTATTTGAGAGTCTGAAAAGACATGAATTGCCGAGATGTCGAGTTGGATTTGGGTATGGACAAATTTGACGAGACGAAGACTTATGAGTGCAGCTAACAATTCCATGCGTGGCATGGTCAGTGGCTTACGCGGACCTAGTAACGACTTAGCCATAACTCAGATGAGTCTCAACCGATGAAGCAGTTCGACAAAGAAGATATACACAAGAAGAATAGAGTCGCTTGGAGGCATCGCCGAATACGCAGAGCTCAAACTTCAAGACGAAGGGAGGAGTTATACAGCGCGGTATGGGTGGAATGGGGTGCTGTATATCCTGTACAAGCTGCTGCCAACGATGTAGATCTGCGGCATCGAGCGGATCGTCCCATTGGTAGGATTTCGACCATGCATCCTGCAAAAAGATTTTGAATGGAGCTAGAAATGGTGATAAAAGGCCTAAAGGATCAAACGTTGAAGCTAAAGCCTTTAGCGCTGTGCGCTTAGATATAACTTGGTATCGAGTGGTGTTGATTGGGATGGAAATGTTGTCCAACTGAGGGTTCCAGCGAATGCCTAAAAGCGAAACAGATTTCAGTATTCTTCATACGGTCTGCTGCATTGATGGCATGGTTAACCGCACTAGAATTGCATAGGAACTCTCGAAGGTTCATGTTCATAGAAGCGAACAGGTCTTTTGAATCCCTATATTTTTGAATAGCTTCTGCTTCTGTTGATGCACCGAGAACAATGTTATCGACGTAGATGTTCGATTCGATTTCCTTGTTCAACGGACAACAAGGGTCACGTCGCAAATAGTATAGGATAGAAGCAGCTAATAAAAATGGTGATGCGGTTATTCCGAACGGAACGCGTGTAAAACGAAATATCCTGATGTTGTCATGGGACGGTGGCTTAGTAGGGTCTTTCAACCACAAAAATCTAGTTGCATCCCTTTGCCCGACTTGCAAGCGAATTTGTAAAAACGCTTTCTCTACATCCGATATCAAAAGATATGGGTGTAGACGGGCACGGATCAAAATGCCAACGAGATCCGGTAGGATCGATGGGCCAGAATACAAGCAGTCATTGAGGCTGGGTGCTCCCTTATAGTGGGATGAGGCATCGAACACTACTCGAAGCTTCGTTGTCGCAGATGATTCCTTGATTACTGCCTGATGCGGAATGTAATAGATCCTGTGGTCATCTGAACGATGTTCTTCGACCTCTTCGATGATTCCGTTCTGCAGATAGTCCTGAAATGTGCGCGAGTAGAGTTGCCATAGATCTGATTTGGCACTGAGTGTTCGGTATTGACTTTCAAGACGCTTTAGAGCGAGCGACTTGTTGTTAGCGAGTCGAGGGTGCGAACTTTTCCAGGGGAACTGTACGTAGAGATGTCCGTTTATTACCTGAGCGGTTTCTTGAAACCGTTGCAAAACTTTTGCGTCTTCGTGTTGGTCATAGAGTGGGTCAGGATTGTCAGTAATGCCGATGATGTCGAGGCTATCGAAACGAGAAATGGGGTCAGTATCGCTTTGGATGGAGATGCTATTGATGACGACAGGTTTGTGTTGCATGAGTTCAACGAAAAAACTTCGATCCTGAGATTGTGGGTCCGAATCGAGTGTAGCAAAGAACTAATCCAGAAGGGAGAGTTGTTGGTGATCTTATAGTCAGAATATCCCAGAAATAATCTATGCCGATGAGGATGTCAGGCGTGACCTGACGAACGGCTGTAAGCGAATGCAGCGACACATTGAGTAAACGAAGGATTTCTCGATCTTCTTCCGTTAAACGAGTCGGTGGAGATGGAATAGTAAGCCTATCTTTGGTGTGCAGCACAAGCGATATCGGCTGATTGTGTCGATCAATTAAAGTGATGTAGGACTTGCCAGAGTGTTCTGTTGTGCTCACAGCTCCAAACGAATATGTGGTAAGTAGATCTTGCTCAAACACGTCAAGCTGATGTTCTTCGACTGCTGCTTTACTGATAAAGCTGGTTTGTGCTCCAGTGTCTAGCAGAATAACGACAGGGTGTTGTTTTCTTGTCTTAGGATTGATTATGGGATGCTGGCGGTTTCAGCTAGGTGAAAGTTTTCGGCCCCTATTCTAATTGTCAGCGATAAATGTTCGTATAAAATTTAGCGTCAATAATCAGTCTTTTGGTAAGATCAGATGAGCTACGTATTCTGACGCTCCGATCTGGAAGATTAGTGTACAACGTTTGCTTGGCTTCACATGGCACTTAGAGCTTTCTGCTTGGGGTGCGGCGAGTCCTTGCGTCTTTCCAGTGTAGTGAAACGAACCGAATGGGTTTTAAACCGCGGGATCTGTGTTGTGTTGGCGACGTACTGCCCTCAGAACGGTAATTGGGTGAACGGTAACGATGATCTTTGTAAGAAGGGGATCTGGAATGATCACGAGAGGAGTCCGAAGATGGTGTACGATGACGGTCAGAGGTGTGACGTTGATGATCGCTTCGCGAGTGTGCCTCTTTGGTACAAAGGATAGAATGATGATTTCCTCTGCAATGCTTACATTTGGGGTATCCACATTGAGAGCTGGTGTGCCCTTGCCTCAAACACTTCCAGCAAAGACGGAGCGACTTAGCTATTACACGACGTGTGGACACGGGCATTGTACGATTGCAGCGCATGGAAACATGGTTACGTGATGTACAAAAAAGACAGCAATTAGGATTAATTGTAGGCTCTGGAGAGGTAGACCTTGAACGAGAACGGGTAATTGAATTGACACTAAACTCTTGAACCGTTGATTTACCAACCTGATGATCTTCCAGCTGTTCAAGTTCCTCGATGACTTCATTGAAGCCATCCAGAAGCTCTGGGAGCGTCCAAATCTTGCCTGATCTGTGCTCAAGTTTATTAACCTCCATTTGCGTGTCACGTGGAAATTTCTTCCTGATGAGTTTCATGAGAGACAATGACGTTGTTGTATCCTCAAAGCGATTAAGTTGTAAAACATAAGATTGGATGTGCGAAAGGGTGTCTCGCTGTGAAGAAGCTGAAATTGAAGAAGTAGGAAGTTGTTCTAATTTGTGATGAAATAGATTATGAGTAAACTGCGGGCGATCATAACGTTTTTTGAGAGTTTGAACCGCAAGGTGATAGTTTTCCGACTTTGAAGGGTCATACCCTTGTATGATGAGCGCAGCAGGTCCTCTGAGAGAGTTGGTCAAGTAAATAAACTTGGTTGCAAGAGAGAGCGAGTCATTGTCATGCACTGCAGCTTTAAAGCGGCACCAAAAATCATGAAACTGTGTGACGTCTCCATCAAACGTCGGCAATTCCAACCTGCGGAGTTGAATAGGCTGCACGAGGGGAAACCGACTGATGAGGGGTGGAGTAGTTAAACGATAGCTGATGCGGATTTTCCCTGTTAGATTCCGACGGGGGGTCGCTAGACGAATTGAGGCGACCAGGAGAATCTGAAATAGCAAGAGTTGCTGCGGCGTGCGTGATATTTGTCTGTAATCTGTGATCGAAGTGATGTTTCTAACGCTTCGTCTATGGTGAGTTGGGTGTCGAGCGCCAGTATTGTTTCTGTCGCGTCTTGCTCAAACTTTTCGCCATAAAGTTGGCTCCAAAACTGATCGATTTCTTCGCTTAGCGAAGAGCTATCTTCCCGACTTTGCACAAAAAGCATGAGAGCATTGTAGCGCTCTTTCACGACTTCCAACGCACGTTGGATGGCAAACTTTTTGCCAGTAATTGTTGCTCTGCGACGGATGATCTCTCGGAGCTGGATCTCTGGTGCCGTTGAAGTATCTAAGGAAGTTAAATAAGTTAAATCGACAGAGGAAATTGTCTTTGAAAGAGTACCGACCGCTGATGTTAAACGGCTCTTGTGCCCACGCAAGTTAGACATGGAGTCGACGTTCAAGACTAGTCGCAACAAACCTATAAGCTAAAAAGGTGATACTTGATTTGATGGTCACTAACGATCACTTGTACGCGAGCGTAACAAATACGAAACGATCTGGTACCGAGTGTGGCAACAAGTGGCAACTAGGTAGGAAACGCATGGAAAATTGAGCTGACTTACGGAATGCGACTAC